TACGAACACGCGTCTACCCATGAGCCTTTGCGTTGTTAGCGCGTGTCGTCATTGTCGCTTGCGCGTGCGCAGGTGGCGACCCCTCCGCTTTATAGTAACTGCGACATGGTTATTACCGCTAGTAACATACACTGTTTAGATATGGACTAATAGTCGGGGAAGAAATACCTAATTTTAAATAAAAATATTATATTTGCATATGGGACATATATTTATCAATTATTTAAATTGTCTTAGCTGGTTTTGGAGACGTCGTACCTGGTTACGACTGGCTTACATTAGATAGTCATTGGATACGGTAAACATTAGTATTTGCCGTACGTACCGACACACGCAGTGCTGCACGTGCAACAAGGTCATTACGTTCAAAGTAATCTACATACGCAAATATTCGTCGAGTCGAGTTATTTTTTTCTTGAGAAAGACCTGGATCGTAAAATGTGCGGGTGGTTTCAGTAATGTCTGACTTGTTACGTACATATTTAGCATGGTAACGATCGACGTAAAAGTTCAAATGATAAGGTAAATCGGCACAGAGCAAGAATTACGTAATCTCTAATCAATTGCCCCGAATGTCCAACCTCTCGCGTTGGCCTTCGTTCTTTTCCAAAAACCTATTTATTTACTTATTTATTTATTTATTTACTTATTTATTTATTTATTTATTTGTTTGTTTGTTTGTTTGTTTGTTTGTCTGTTTGTTTGTTTGTTTGTTTGTTTATTTATTTATTTATAGACAGTAGTCCGCGTTACATTTATAATAAAGGAAACAACATGATTATGAGAGGGATGTCATGATTATTTATTCAACAGCGCTGTGCATTCTGGAAGTGTCTCAGACAACTTTGCTGTGTACAAACATCTGATGTACATTTCATTTGCTCTTTGGTCATTGTTTCATCGACCGATGGTCCTCGCGAACACAGCAATAACAGCGGTTACTTTCTCTCAAAGGATGTCACGATGTGTCGTCTGCCTGACTGCTAGGTCAGCGTGGCGTCGCCTTGCTGCTGTGGTCGGGTCCGCGGGACATCAATAACCGTGACCAATTTATCATTTAACAGTAGCCAATCATCACCAATTCAAAGAATTGGCATTTCCTTATTAAGTCGTGACTACTGACCGTTGTTATTCTTGGTTTTCAACAGAAGTCTGAATCATCTCGGAGATACTTTACAAGTCTCAGGACAATACAAGAGGGTCGAATTCACAATTTCCGGGGAAAACAGGGGGTTAGCGCCCATCATGATAATGTTAACAAAAAAGTAGTACGCAGTTCACGGGGTATACGCGCGGAAAAAAAACACATTTCACAGCAGTATTGATTTCAAGAAATCGACTGAAATGCTGGAGATAGCAGGTCCTTTTCCGATGAAGTTAGCTTAACATGAACGTATCGGATTGTATATTATACACATAGGCGTGATGCGCTGTGTCGCCTCAAGGCTTCTGGGCGGTTTTGTTTGTTGGTAGTCCCAAACCGACTGCTGACTCAGCAGTGTAAATTACAGTACACGTACGTTCTGTCCACCCCAACAAACACTCGGTATTAATAGATGATGGAAAATGGCGTCATGTCTGATGGGGACGATTGCAACTGCTCGTCCCGTCTTTCCCGATCTTAAAGTTTACTTGATACCATTGAAAATCATAGAACGCTTATTTGTGTAGAAAAAAAATGTTCGACATATCCTGTTGACGAGTAAGTGTGATAAATAGACACAGCTCTAATTAATCGTAATTATGAAATAAAAATATAACAGCAGTTTTACTTAGTATTAGGAACACTCTTTTGTGAAAAGGCCTGTCATGGCTGAAGCGGCTAATAACCTTTCCCTTTGCAACCGATAATTACAGACTACATAATACGGGATGCGTCGTGATTTCAGCGATAAATTTCATGATAAAGCGCAATCATATTTAAGAGATGAACGAAATAAGGGGCAGTCTCAAAATGTCGTAAATTAAGGGTCAGTCAGTTTCAATAAATTATTCATTGGTGCGTGTTCGTATCATGTCAGCAACTCGTTCGATATTAGTTCTCTGTGTATCAAATCAAACATTTAGATGTGGGCAAATAGTGGTCGAGAACGAATAAAATTAAATGGAATACTCGAATACAAATACTTAAACACGCTGAACTGTGACAAATTTGTTGTTTATAAACTTATTTGAGAATCGTGAATAGTAATAATATGTATCAAGTTTAATATCAATGTGACGTAACTGTGTATGTGTGTAGGTGCATGCGTGCGTGCGTGCGTGCGTGTGTGTGTGTGCGTGGGTGTGTGTGGGTGTTTGTGTGTGCGTGTGTGTGTGTGTGTGTGTGTGTGTGTGTGCTTGCGTGCGTGCGTGTGTGTGTCTGTTATCAAAGCAGGAATTGGTGAAATCTCGGACATTTATGAACCTTTAACTTAATTGAAGAAGATCGACGACCCCTAATCGCTATCCGCGGTATTTAAAATATATTGTAATATCTTACTTCATATCCGGAATGGTGGATGGTATTGTGTGTGAATAACGAACATGTTTGGTAACTTTTGGCGAGTTTCAAACTGTGGGCACCATCATGTTGTATGTGTATATTATGTAAAATTTGTTGTTTTTAATGTGCGTGATACCTTGTTTCAAATTAATTGGCATTTGAGTTTAGAAAACTTTTAATAAACAAATCATAATGACTGAATTTTAACCACAGTGACGATTTCTAGGGAAGATACCATTTGCAATCTAACGATGCGTGCCGTGTCGTTGCCATGACACCGAAATTTAAGTACGACAATATCCCCCGAATAAACAATACACAATCTGTAAAATTCATCATAATAATTTGCTATTGATGACGTGGCACTTCGTTAGGACATAGACTTTAAAAGGGTATGTGGTTGACACCGTGGAGTGCCCAGAGGGTCATATTTCCCGATCAGACTGCTGAGAAGATACCAGGCACGTATTGCAGTTATAAACTAAGTATCATCTTTCGTTAAGACGATCAAGTCGACGTAACTGAAGATAACAAAATTGCATGGCACGTGTTTATGAATAGTATTTATCAACACGTAGTATGTCCTGGAGAAAAACTGATCAGACAAAAACTGTACACAAATTATAGACTTATAATTGCGAATAAATAGTTAGATCACTAATTATGTAATTATGATATTATTTGTTGATCTCAAATGCTGAGTTATATTGTATTCAATTATAAACAATTACATAAATACATTATAAACTTATTTTCTCTAAACGTTTGGAGGTCAATGAATTAATAATGGAATGAATTCCACATTTCGTTACTGTGAAATCGTGTCTTACTGTCTATTCCGTTCGGTTGAAGTGTTCACTTATTGCCATGTTAACGAATTATTCTGCCGGGATCTAAAATCGGTCATGCCACAGATAGACACCTAATTAAAACGAATCTGCACGTAACGAGGTCACACTTCATCAATTAATTCTAAAAGGTCAACAAGTCACTACACATATATGCATGTTCACCAGTTTTATGTAAAATCCGAATGACTCGTTTGTACATCGGGGTTGTAGGTTCGTTTTCACTTTTCTCCAAAATACGAAATGTCATAGGTGAAGAATAGCAACAAATTTTATTATCAAAATAATAATATCAAATCTAATATAAGTTAGTCTAATATAATATAATCCCTTTAATGTAATTCCCTCCAATATAAAACATAATCTCGTATAATCTAGTCTACTTGATAATTTGCTGCTCTCTGAGTTGATTGACCTTCGAGTCCGTCTTAAAAACAATAACAACACTTGTGGTAGGCATTTTTTTTTTCGGTCATGTGTCGTTAAGAATTGTTTTTATAACACCATTACACTTATACGTCATCTCACTGTCTGTGTAGTCATACCGCACAATGTGTTGGTATCTCGTCGGTATAAATAATGCTAGGTTCTTCAAGGACGATGACTTATATCGAAATCACGGATTCCCCGTGACGGTGTACTCCGAGCGTATTTGTTCCGCCGATATCATAGTAGGTCATTCCATTACACGTGTTGAGCCTTTTAGTCCCAAATAAACACTGAGGTTCAAGGACTCGATACTGTTACAGTATTTGTTAAACCACAGTTCCTCAACACGTTGAGGGACTGTGGTTAAACTCAGTATTAAATTTCCAGTCCGTTATCTATTTTCTGGACGATTTTTTGATTAGTGAGTTGAACATCCACAAAACGTAACTTTAAAAAAAGAACAAGAGATGCTATGTCATTGTTTTATTTGTATTCATCGTGCTTTGTTTGTATTCGGAAGGGGGGGGGTCTAATTTTATCCCAAATCACCAATTATTACGACACATTTCTTATTTCTGACATTTTGGGGAACATTCTGATGAAATTAACAAAAAAATGAAATTGCAAACAATTTTGGATACGTAAACAGATTCCCCTCGATTTCAATTGATCAACCCTTAATTTGTTTGATGGAAAATGATTTGAAAAGTGATTTGGTGAGCAAACTTTTGCTGGTCATCAAACCAGAAAGTCGCATAACTCGGAACATTGTATTGATTCCAAAGAAAGGGTCTTTCATTACAAATTTATTCAATTTGGGATCACAGTGTCAGAAACTAGTATTGATCATTCGTGTAGTGAATAATGACGTCATTTCCTTATGTCAGGGACGAATTCAACTTAAAGAAGGGATATCCCAATAACGTTTGGACGTTAACAGCCATGTCGAAGTAAACAAAACAGTAATTCCTTGTCAATTCCGGTTACAACCAACCTTGCGTACGCTATATGATACGTTACATTGCCCGGCGCTTCCATTCACTATCGCCACCCGCCATGTATGACTCACAGTATTTACTGTACTCTGTCCTATACACGAACCCCGTCTTATTTGTTTATCCTTCGTAATCACGTGACAATTATTTCGTCCAATCAGTCTGTCTGCCTGGGTTATCGACCCCCATTGTTTGTTGTATACATCTGAGACTGTAAGTAATGTGCGCATGTGTCATTAGTTTAAATGCTACAGACGTGTTCGTTTCATTTGAATTTCACTCCCGAGTATTAAGATTCTGCGTTTAAAAACCCGCATCATATCGTATTCGGTAAGTTAAAGCGATTGTTAGAACGTTGCATTTTAATACTTTTGTATAACGGTATCGTACGACTACGGGAGAGAGATCTGTTTTTGTGTGGCCAGTGTTTTGAATAGATTTCGCCTTCGCGCATTCAGTGGTCCGCACGTTGTATTCACTTTATTTGTGCCAATTGGGCACACCATCGAGCGACCATGATTGCAAAGGCTAAGTATCAACAGCGTTCTGCTAGACGAAGACTAACAGTTAAACCACACCCATGTTGTACTTGGCGGGAAATGTGTTTTAACATAATATCTCGTATCGTGCTTTTGTGGGGTTTCCTAGCCTCGGCTACAGCTGAGCTGTGTAATTATCATGATCGAGTCTCCCGTGCTGCGTCAGACTTCTAGTACTAGTGGGACGCGACGCTGATTCCGTAGAGACCAAGCATACAATCTCTGCGACGCGTTCATTGATCAACAACGGTCGTTGAGAAGGCCCCACCATGTACGCGTCCATTGATTTTCAAGAGTCATCAAGTATCAAAACAGAATTGAACTGACACACGAGACGTAATTTGTTTTTTAGTCTAAACACCATGACTGATATTCCCCTTTACCGTCCATGTGTGCACTATTTCAGGGTAAATTATTGTTTTTTTCAAAGTGACTCGCCATCACTACGTGCCGTGTCGTATACGTAATGTTTTGATTCTATTTGCACTGTATGCTGTGAAATTCCTGTTTTTGCTGAATTTCACGACTGAATTATTGTGTGTGTTCTATTTAGGGTTGAATATGATAGATTTGTTGACGATTTACTTGGTCTGTATGTGTATTTTGACGGATATTGCGTAATTACCGTTCATAAGAACAAAGGACAGTTCAAACGTCGTAAATGGAATGAGTAATCACCAGGGAATCCACACCTGTCAAAGAACACATTTGTTTACAAAATAATCAATGCGTTGACCTCCGACTTTGGAAATTGGGCCACACTCCCTGTGTTTATGGTGTCCTTGAACAAAGTGTGTATGGTTTTTGTAAACATAGTGGTTGGAGACTGCGCCTACACTGTGTGCACGTTTGTATATACTGGACATGTGGTAAAAGCTACCCAGAAGGCTTTGCTCTGTCAAATACGTATTAAAACCCGGACCTAACTGGGTCATCCTAAGGTCAATCGCGGTTACAGCTGTGCCGATTGGACGAGTTTCCTTTACATACTCCCATACGCCGTATTGTGATGGGTACATTATCGATAACCGAGAAATTATCCCAGTTGCGTAGATATTCTTATTTCAGCAAAAACATTGTCTCACGTGTTAAGCGATTGCAACATATATATATTATATATATATATATATATATATATATATATATATATATATATATATATATATATATATATATATATATATATATATACATGTATGGTATGATATGATATTTTATTCGGAACGCACCAAGAAAACCTTGAGTAATGTCCAATAATAATAACAACAACAAACACAACAACATTCAGGACAACATAGTTTACAGAACTAAAACATATCAAAATATATAGAAAATAAATTTTGCAAAAATGCTAAGAATGAAAGAATCATTACTTTAAACAATATTAAGAAATAATTCACCCACGCTAGAATCTATACTAGAATCTTCCAACTTTGGAGCATAGATGTATGGAGCTGCAAGGAATCTAGATCATTCAGTGTTCTTTGATTTGACAATTATTACAATATAAAATGTAATGTTTCTCAGTTACATAGCCTTTTTTCCTTCGAAATACCGTGACCGTTATATCTACCGGAGTCAATGGGAAGATAATGTGCGGAAGTTCTAAATTTAGTATAAGCTATTCTATGATTTTTTTTCAATTTTATCTAAATAATGTTCAAATTCAAAATGTTCTTTAGAAGTTTTTCCACTTCATACGGCACAAACAATTGAGCTTATCTTTAAAAATATCACAAAAATTGTATATGTACACACTAACGTTGTTGTATGGCTTTAAAATATGAATAGATGGTCACGGGAAACGGTATTATGTTGCCAAGTAGCTCTTTGTATAGCCTAGAGTTATGAACCCCAAAACCAAACATGTTCTCGGGGTTATTTACCAAAGAGTTGTAAATTTCGATGTCCATTAATTACCAGGACATCACCACTCATCTCTAATTTTTTGACAACTCGGGCAACCCCACCATGGTAAAACCCGGATACGCAATGTATTTATTGGGAGACAGAATGCAGAGTTACCTAATCTCTTGTTAAGATCGGTCCACGAAACATGATATTAAATATTAGCTTGATCGGATTTCTAACAAATCTTAGCTATTCTAATATAGTATATCATTAATTATCACATATTATTCTGACATCGCCACGGAAGAATGTTTCTGAATGTTTGAGTTTATAATTGCAGTTTTGATAATAAATATAAAAAAAAGAGTTGGAATTGTTTAGGATTCTGCATATCAAGCACATCCTACTGACGCATTTTATAAATTTACGCTGTTGTGTCTGGACACTGTACGTTGGTAATGAGATGGATTGAGTTGACGTCTTCGATTTCGATTGTCGACGACAGGCATGGGTCAAATGTGCAGCACTGTGTTTTCATGTAAGGTCACTAGGTCTGCCAGGGTAACGACCGTAACTTAAGTTTCGTTGTATAGAGTAAATATGAATGGCTACGACATCACATCGTCTGTGTGTGTATGTATTGTATATATAATTCAATTGGCCAATCCCCTCTTAATGTATCCCCAGAAACAGCTAGAGCAGAATGGAGCAAGAAAGAAAAAAGAATGGTCAGTCTAGGCCGGTACTTGACCGCAATTCTGTGTAAAGTTTAGTAACCTTCGTTTTACTTGGTAACGATAAAGACAGCCATTATATTTATTGAAAAACGACGGGGGAGTGGCGCAATTGCGTGACAATCAAGTCAGAAATGTCGATGGTGCGGCTTTGGACAGTGCGTCATTGTTTGATATCACATATACCCTAGAAAAACTAAGGTCTATTGATAACAAGATCATATTGCTCAGTAAATACAGCGATTCATTAATATTTTCCCTAGCCAGCGGATGCACCTCGCAGCGGTTATCAAGTAACCAGTCAAGGAGTCGACATTCCACGCATCCAATCACAGCGCAGTCCCTGCATATGAATTTGATCATAGAATGCATCTCGGCATGGATGTTAAAATGTAAAAAAAAAACACCTCCTTAATTTCAGATATTTGTGGATAATATATCTTATATGCAATAAGTATATATTAAAATTGTACAGTCATTCGCACAGTGACGTTAATGATATGAATATTCGTGGTATTCCATTGACTGCATAGCTTCAACTGCGTAAAACAACACCACGGCTACCCGGAGATTGATGACTAGTGTATTGGATGTCATCTAGTACAATTCATCACGTGACTATCCACGTGGCATACACAACATACATTTCAAATAACACCGTTTCCTGTTATATTTTCACACATCCTGTCACCTGCCTCGTCTATTATAAATATGAAATTATGTGAATGTACGAAGTTTAAATCATTGTCATTGTCGTTAAAAAAAATCCACAATGGCGACAAAGTTGTCGCATTCTTACATCGCCCGACGCTTGCCAATGTCTCAAGCTCTAATATAACCGCGTTCCTGCCTCTAATATGGTGATTATACAGCTGCATTGTTGCTAGTTTTCAAGAGTTTCCGCTTGTTTATAATACCTACAACTTTGGTAGAGTCAATAGACTGAACTGGGAATAAGTCTTCAGTAGACTGAACATGTCTTATTACTGAACTCACGTGACAGTCTCTCAGCTGATTCGTTTTGATTTTGTTTTTGTTATTTCTGTGAGTAATAACGACTAGTCGCGTTGCGATTTAGACGCATATACCGGTATTTTTACATCATATATACAAACTATATAATATATGCATTGGTTTAATTTATTTCGGCAGAAAGTAAATCAGTGCACGCACTTTCAGGGGAGAACGTGAGGTTATCAATGTGGTCACAAA